GAAAATCAATCAAACCAATTTCTCTTTCTCTCCCAAGGAGCGGAGGAATCAGGTAAGAATGACTTACCTCCCCTGACTACTGTGGTGCCTGCAGCATTGTTAAAAAAAAAAGAAAAAAAAAGAAGAAAAGGCTAAACTGGCTTGATAATCATCAGGCTATTGCGATTAGTCTTCATATTTGATAGTTAAAGATGATTAAGACATCTGCAGTTAACAAAAATAAATGAGGCATGACGTCTTTTGCAAAGTCATGACTAAAAGAAAACAAAAAATCCCAAAAAATCAGGCATCAAAAGTTAATAGCTTCAAAGACTATCTTGTGATATCTTTGGATAAATTTACCATTTTTATTTGTAGGATAAAATTATTAAAAAAAAAAAAAAGAAAGTTATCAATGGTCAAAAATGAAAGCAAGCATTAATGGCAGAATAGGGCTATTATATGTAGAATTATTATTTTGTAGCAGTGTTTCACTATAGAAATGTATTGTAAATGAGGAATAAAGTGATTGTCAGCTTACTTTTCTCTGTTTACATTATTTAGACTATTATCCTCATCTTCATTGCCATATTAACAATGTTTCGGCCATTGTATGCTCAGGCCTTCTTCAGGTGATTAGAATTTCAAAATGAACCCTTTATTTCGTCCACTGGGGTAGATTGTTATAGTTCCATATTCAATGCCGCTACCGGATGCCTCAGTTATTTCTCTTTAACTCAACTCGACAATTTTTTTGTTTCACCACTTCCCTATCTACCCCAGCGGACGAAATAAAGGGTTTGGTTCGAAATCCCAATCACCTGAAAAAGTTCGGAGTGTACAATGGCCGAAACGTTGTGAATATGTCAATGAAGATGAGGATAACACTCCAAATAGTGTAAATAACTGTAACAGAGAATTGGGTCAGCCTGATTAAAACTCAGTTGGTTGTATGTGGTGCTATAAAGACCAGGAATTGTGTCCCCTTCCACAATGGGCTGTTGAGAGAAGACTTACTTAGAGTGGGTGGCACTGCCTATTTGTAAGAATTTCCAAATCAATGCGTTTTTCACCAGAAAAAAAACTTCAAAGCACTAATCATAAATTTACATCAACGGCTGAAGTAAAAAAAAAAATATATATTTTTAACCAAATCCTGGATCCTTTCCTTTTTTCTGGCCTTACTAGTAGCGCTGTCGTTAATCTTTAATCTCTTGTGATGTATATGGTTTGTAGAAATGTCTCTTAATACTGAGGGTACTGGGTCGGCAGTTTTCTTGTTGCTGTTCTTGACTGGTACCTGAACTCTTGCATAGTGTTGAGTCCAACTGCACCAGCTAACGCAATTTATACTTATGCGGTTAGGCTGAAGGGTGTTGATGCTCTACCTGCAATAACACCAATGTTTCTGCCAGTTGAGAGGAGTGCTCTCAACGTGTGGATGTGTGAAAAACAGACAAGATGAATACAAACTATTTCAGCTGGAAATTTTTGCAAATAGGCAGTGCCACCTACTCTGATTTTTGGGACACAAGGAAAAATGGCCGAGCTATTTGATATGCACAGGACATTGAAAGTAAGAGTGGCAGGGAAAACCCTCAAGTTGTATGAGCAAATGGTAGAACAAGGACAATGGTAAAAAGACAAGAAGTTGTGGAGAGCCATGACTTGGTAAAAAGAAGAATAGCAAAACTCATTACTGGATCAGTGGCTAGTAAGGTGACTTGTTACAAGAGTATTTTAGTGGGAAGTATTTTAGAAGAAATTTTCTATTACTTCACATTGTTTAAATTATTTTTTTTTTTTTTTTAAATCCATTCACATCATTCAACTTCATTATCCACCATCTCGCTTTTCCCCCCTCACATTATAACACAAATATTTCTTTTCAGCTGGCATGGTAGTTTTAGTGAGCTGTTGTGTTGATTAATCGTCTTGTTTTCTTCTCCATTGTTGATTCTCTTTCTCAGCTTGTCGTCTGTTTTCTTTCTCTTTTCTTTTTCTTTTTTTAATATCTGACAAGAAATTAAAATTTAAAAGAATTTTTTTGAATGTCTCTAATTTTTCTTTTACTTATTTTTGAATTGCACTTACAATAACATGTATTTGTGGCCTGCGTAGTGGCTGAGGTAGTTGCATACTTCTAATTAGCACCAGTTGAGCACAGGTAAAAAAACAGCAGATTGGATTCATGCCTTTCACAAGAGCAAAATGAACAGAACAGACTTGGCCAGGATTTGTACTCATCATCAGTCATAGGATCGAGACACACCTAAGAACCTGACCAGCTTCCTTCATATGTCTTGGTTGCGTGCTAATGTCTGAGTCTCTGTGAATAATCTTCCATTCCACGCAGTGATGTTGTCTGCCCCTTTCCCCCACCTTTTTTTTTTGCTTAAAGTCGTACCTTGTAGAATTGTAGTCGAAAGATGGCTGGCCCTTGTGATCTGGCCATGTTATTTCAAATTCCTCTTCTTGAATGTGGTTATGAGATCATCCATCCGACCTGTCTCTTGTTTGCTTGTGTCTTTCATGCCTTGTCATTTATTATCTTGGCTCTGTAAGAGATGCCGAGAATGTTTCTTTAGCATCTCATATTTAATGTTAAGATTTGTCGCTGTAATTCTGCTGTTAATGTCCAAGACTTGCAGGTATACAGAAAGGCCAATGCATGCAAAAAGCCTGTTTTTTTGATTCCAGGCGGATGTTCTTATCTTTCCAAATGGTTTTCATTTTTACGACAGCTGCCATTGTTTGAGCTGCTCTTGAAATGACTTCTGTATTCTGGATGACTCTTTCTTCTGCATCTTCCAATGCGTTTACTTCTTGCCTGATGGAGTCCATTTTGAAGTGGTTTATGTAGGAGATGCCTAGAATGGTTCTGTAACATCTCATTTCTATTCTTCGCTGTAATTCTGCTGTTAATGTCCAAGACTCTCAGGTGTACAGATAGAGAAGTCCGATTTCTGCAACGGCCTGGTCTTTGATTCCAGGTGGATCTTCTTGCAGCTTCTGTCATTGTTTGTGCTACTCTCAAAATTATTTCTGTTCTGGAGCCTTCTTCGCTGATAATTGAGCCAAGGACCCACCAGTTCACGTACACTGTCAACTTATCTTCATTCCCTTCATATTCCATTGGTAAGGAGGAAGAACTGTCTCAATATGGAACAGACTCCCAAAGGGATGCTTCCATAATCAATATAATCTTATCTTCAAGGCGACAGTCATCCATTATTTATCCTGACCTTCCCAGCAAGGACAAACAATACGGGTTTGACTCCTTGGTTCAGTGATGCATTTAGTCTGGAAATGCAATCTGATACAGCTGTTGTAGTCTCATGCCCATTACCATTCACATGGGTGTATATAAAAAATCATATCTGTCTGCTCACGATATGAATATCCTACCATTGTAAACAGAATACTACTCAGTTTATTCACTACTACATGTTAGATGTTAGAGATAGACTTTGCAACAAATGTACATGAATGACAAATGTAACCTAGTCTACATGCCATAAATTTTCTTTAAACTTAACTCAAAAATGAAGGATTTGCGAACATGTGTATATGGACTATTGTCCTTGTTTTGGTGTGAGGAACATGCCTCCAAAGTTTGTAAAAGTATTTTGATACAGTGTGTGTGTGTGTGTGTGTGTGTGTGTGTGTGTGTGTGTATATATATATATATATATATATATATATATTATATATATATATATATATATATATATATATATATATTATATATATATATATATATATATATATATATATATATATATATATATTATATATATATATATATATATATATATATATATATATATATATATATATATATATATATATATATATTATATATATATATATATATATTATATATATATATATAAAATATTATGGCTGAGTGGTTAGAATATTCGCTTGACCATAGTTGGTTTGTCAGAAGTTGGAGACAAAAAGTCCATATGCTCACATGTCCACAAATCCTTCATTTTTGAGTTTAAAGAAAACACAGCCATGCAGTCTTTTGTCCCTTGCCATTCACATGAATGGTAATGAACGAAAGACTGCACGGCTGTATTAGATTGCATTTCCAAACTGAAAGCAGCAATAAACTTAGGAGTCAAACCCATACTGTTTGTCCTTGCTGTGAAGGGCAGTTTAAATAATTGATGACTGTTGACTTGTAGTCAAGATTATATTGATTAGGGAAGCATCCCTTAGGGAGTCTGTTCCATATTGTATCAGTTTTGGGGTAAGAACTTCTTCCTTACGAATGGAATATGAAGGAAATGAGGGTAAGTCAACTCACAAGGTTACATGAACGCTTTCAAACTATTGCTGCATAGCTCCCTCATGTCAGGAGTTTCAGTTCAATGACACCAATTCAATAAAATGTTGCACCTTCTCTTTCAGCCAGTGATCGCTAGATGTTTTTGGGCAACAATGAATTGTTTCCCACCCTACAACCTCTTTCCCCATAGACAAAATGTTGCAAACTGTTCACTCCTCTATTGCTATTTTCGTGGTGGATGTTTCAGCAAACTAAAATCTTTGGTTCCACCAGTTCTGATCTTTTCTGCTTGGACCATCCAGTCGACTCTTCTTCATTCTCTTCATATGTCATTGGTGAGGAGGAAGTTCTTCTGCAGAACTTTTGCATTGTAGAACAAGCTCCTGAAAGAATGCTTTCTCAATCGCTACAATGTTAACCACTTCAAATTTCTACCCTATATATGCTCATAATTTACATCTCTCGCTCTCCCTTACAACATCATTAACTCTCTACCTTGAATGTCTCTTGGGCCTTGATTTTCAGTGTTTTATTTGGCGATTATGTCCAATGTTAGTTCACCTGTCGTATGTTGATGAATATTCTTGATTTGATTGTTATCAGTTTCGACTGGTCGTCCCAACTGTGAAGCCTCATTCAGTGAGAAATCTCCAGCATGAAACTTGTGTTTCAGTCGTGTTTTTATGTCTTTTTGATGGAGGTTTAAAATTTAACATTACTGATGCTATCCAAAACAGTTTGTTGGTTACCAAGTAAGACAAAGGAAAAATAGTAAAAAACTAATAGTAAACATATTTCACTAGGTAATTGATGATTGCCTAGTATGAAACCGACAACTGTGTTGTTAGTCTTTTCATATGTTTTCTAATTATAACAAATCCAGAATGTGTTTTTTGCTCAGTATGTTTCCGGTGCGCTTTTTTTTTTTTTTTTTTTTTTTGCTCTGTACGTTCCAGGGTGCGTTTTTGCTTGGTGTGTCACTCTTACCCAGTGTGTCTGACCCTTGCGAGGCGTGTCTTTGCTCGGCGTGTCCTGAGTGTGATTTGCTCAGTATAAATTTTTTCTGTTTTAATTTATAGCAAATTTTGTGCGTTTCTTAATGATAGCATCTATATATGATAGGGCAGGTGTATTTTTAAAAAAAATTCTTGTCACTGTTTTTACACACACTACATCGGAGCATGTTCCTTGTTACATTGCATTCTTATTATTATAACCATTAGTATTGGCATGTAATTTGGTAACCCCCAAAAGACAAAGAAACTGACTTGTTTTTGACTCGTTTCCTCAAATTGTGGCACACATCTGAACCAATTTCAACAGTAGTCTTCTGTTATTGAGACAATGTCTCCTTTTTTTTTTTTTTGTCAACCATTATCAAAATCACTAAACGATTTAAACAAAAATAAGACCATTTTTTAAATATTGCTTGATGTATACATACTTTTTTTTTTTTTTTTTTTTTTTTGTCCAAAGGAAGTTATTCTTTAAGACTTATTTTTATTTTTTTTTTTAACCAACCAAAATAAAAGTGAATTGAATTATGAAAGAATTTTTTTTTATTGCCTGACCAGTTTATTAAAATGTTTCAATAAGACCTTGATGTGAACTTTTAATTTTGACATCTGACAAATTTTAAAATTTTGTTATTTAAACTTTCAAATAATTGGGAACTTTGACATTTTTAACATTTAAATATAATTTTTTTTACCCTTACAAGGAATGCAAATAATATTCTTTAATAACCTTATTTTTTTATTTTTTTTTTTTTAACCATCACCAAAATAACTAAATGTACAAAAAAGACACTTTTTATTCAACTTTTTTTTTTTCCTTCATGTTCTGAATTATGAAAGAATTTTTTTTATTGCCTGTCCCAGTTAGCATTAAAAAGGACAACACACATAAAACATTTGAAATTTAACTGAGACAAAGTTTGTAACCGGTTCATTAAAATCTTTTATTAATAAGATGATGTGAATTTTTAATTTTGACATCGGACAAATTTTAAAATTTTGCTATTTAAACTTTCAAATAATTGTGAATTTCAGGTTTTTTAACATTTAAATATAATTTTTTTTTTCTTTTTAAAACCCTAACAAGGAGTGTGAGTAATATTTTGAAATCTTTAAAGCGTATGACCCTTGAAAAGATTAAGAGGTTAGGTTTTTTTTTTTTGCAAGATTTTTTTATTGAATGTTGATAGATGTTTTACGACTTCTATTCTCTTCATCAGCCAAAGAGATAAATTGATTAAATTTTAAAGTTTAAACGTGAAAGTAAAATAGAAGCCTGTAATAATTATTATTCAAAATTATTATAGAAGATAGAAAAATGAGGGATTTCTTCAACAAATGATTGTAAGAATTTAACAAAACTATTTTAGCATTTAGAAAAATTTGTTTTATTTTTTTGTTTAATATATTTTTGTTTTATTTATTTTTTAAAAATCATTTCACTTTAAGTAAGGCAATAGAGCCACAAAGACGCAATGGGTTACTAAGTGTGACAATGTGAGAAAAAGAAAACATTATTAGGAAGAGAGAAGGATAAAAAAAAAAAAAAAGATTGTTTTCAGGAGAAAAAGGCCCAAATAAATATTACCGTCCATCGTCTGTGTCAATACAAACTGGTCAAACAGTAGCTAAGGTTAAAGCATCTTAGGGGCTTTAATGCCTTTCTTGTGGATGAAATGATTAAAAAAAATAAAAATGTAAAATATTTATTTACAGTATTCATATCGTTCAGATTGTTGTCCTCATCTTTATTGCCATATTTACAATGTTTCGGCCACTGTATGCGCCACCATTCTACAGGTGATATATGTTGAAATTTTGAACCAAACACTTTTAGTCCATGAGGTAGGTTGTTCTAGTTCCATGTGCCATGCCTCTTCTGGATATCTGTTATTTCCCTTTAGTAAGTCAATTCAAAAAGTTGATGTTCCCTCTGCTAGTCCAGTTGAGCGTTGGTTGAGTAATCCAAAAAGGGATTTGATCCAAAGAGTTATGAGTTCAATAGTGTAAATAGTTACAATACCTCATCTCAGAAATATAGACAGATCCTGAAGAAGGCCAAAGCGTGCAATGACCGAAACGTGAATATAACAATAAAAATGGGGACAACAGTCCAAACAGTGTAAATCATGTAAATAGTTACAATACCTCATCTCAGAAATATAGACAGAAAAAAATAATTTTGCCAAACTCTAACATGTTTGTTGTGTAAATCTGTCTTCTCTAACAATTTTGAATTATTGTCTGTTACAGGTTTGTATTGTACTTTTGCCTTTGTACATCAAAATTTAATCAATTTAAATATTTGGCTGATGAAGGAAATAGAAGTCTCGAAACATGTATCAATCCTTGATACAGAATTTAATATTTGTATCTGTCGATCTTACTAAAAGGAGTTATTCCACTTTGCATAAAATGCCAGCAGTTTGTTTTTTTGTTTTTTTCTCAATATAATTTATAATTTTAAGTGTATTGAGATTATTATGCTATTATACATTCTCTGCAGAATAGATTGTGGGGTTTATTTGGCTCGGCCGCTGGTCTCATTTAGTTTATATCTGTTTTAAAATGTTTTTGAAAATTTCCTTTGACAGTTGCATCGAAACCTTTGAAGCCATCCAAAAACCAGTTGTTGGTACACAAGAGCAACACGCTACCTCGCACAAAGAGCACATCCACCTCAAAGGAGAGCCCCACTTCTTCACCCAAGAGGCAACATCACAGGCGGCAACTATCTCAGCCAGACGTAAGTTCCCTAAAAATTGATTTCATCTTCATGTGTATTATTAACTTTGTTGGAGGTAGTGGCTAGAATATGCTGATGGCGTCAGTTTTTTTTTGGTGTCGATCCTTCAGGCAAACATAGACTGGAGGAATATCTACCGATAAATATGTGTGTGTGTGTGTGTGTGTGTGTGTGTGTGTGTGTGTGTAGATATATATATATATATCTTAAAAAAATAAGAATGCTGACCAAAACACTATCATCAAGACCTTGGTGGTTGAAACTGCGGAAATGTTCTGGTCAGTGATCTTATTTTTTAAGATATTAAATTGTTCTGCAAGTTTTGTTTTCCTACTTGAAATTGAGCACTTTTAACATGTATGATTTTAACAAATATTTCAGTTTTTGTTTATTTTGGCATATATATATATATACACACACACACACACACACACACACACACACGCTCATAGGTTGAGCACTTTGGAAGAAAGGGAATTTGTCAGCTGCTGCTATTAATGCTAAAAACTGTTCACCAAGAACTGAGCACTCAGGTAGACAATAATGCTTATATCTCATACATAAGGTCTTCTAAAAAATTCCCTTTCTCTGCTGTGTGAGCTATGGGCCTAAGGTGAGAGTCTCTGACTGATGTCAGTTGGTCGGATTTGATCCTGGCTTGAAGCAATCATGTCTAGCCACACTGACAGTGAAACATCATGTAGAACGACTATATATATATATATATATATATATATATATATATATAGTTGTCCACATGTTTCATGGGATGACTATATTACACACACACACACACACACACACACACACACACACAATACAATAAATATATATATATATATATATATATAAATGCATGTTTCATTAAATAATATAGACAAGTTTTGTCTATTTATTTTAAGTTCATTTCATATTGTCTGATAAGCTTAATAACATTATCATTGAAAGACGAAAGGAAATCACCATACTGATTTGGTTTATACCAACAGTTTCCCATACTTAATACTTGTTTACACTCTCACATGGTCAGGTGTGACATCATTTTTACTTCTGCGTCTTGTATACATGAGTTAGTCATTGCTTTGAAATTTTTCATGCCACAAAAACAGACAATCATTATTGTTCCATGTATTGGTTGATATATTGTAATGTAATTATCATCTTTGATAATGGCTTATGTAAGCTGAAAGCTTATATTGGATTTAAACATTTATCAATATGATGATTTCCTTTCGTCTTTCAATGATAATGTTATTAAGCTTATCAGACAATATGAAAGGAACTTACTTAAAATAAATAGACAAAACTTGTCTATATTATTTAATGAAACATGCATTAATGAAAAAAATGCTGCCTAAATACACATATATATATATATATATATATATATAGAGAGAGAGAGAGAGACACATGCACACATATGATTGCACTAGATTGACATAAAGTTGGTTGTCTGTGTTGCACCAGGTTTTTCTTGTCCGAGTCTATCCTTCAAATCTACCATTTGTTCATGCATGGAATGCTGTTGCCATATATGGTCTGGCACCCCTGCTGTTTATCTTGAGTTTCTCAACAAAATCCAAAGATGGATATGCAATGTGATAGGTCTTGACCTGGTATCTTGACTCCAGTCATTTTCTCACCGACATATTGTGGCTTCCCTCTGCCTTTTCTATAAATATTTTTTATAGCATCTTCTCTGACAAGATATTTTCACTGGTGCCCTGAATGTATGAATTTAAGTGTACTACTAGGTTGGCATCTAGGTCCCACCCTTTTACTGTTGAAACTGTTAAATGTAACTGCCTCTTCTACTCCAACAGCTGCTTCTCTTGCACTTCCTGAAAGTGGAACTCCCTTCCTCTTACTTGCTTCTCTGATACCTATAATCTTCAAAAATTTAAATGTAATGTCAATCACCATCTTCTGTGGCCTTGATCCACATTCCTCTTTTTATCCTTCTTGATTCTTTTTTATCCTTTCGTCAATCCCCCCCATACCTAGACTTTTCCCTTACTTTCACTCTCTGTAGCCCCTTGTGTACTAGTGGCACTCTTGCCTTGCTTGAGGTGAAATGCTTAAAAAATAAAAAAGGTCTCAAATTTACAGTTGGAATTACTAGATGCAATCGTAAATTCTATGCTTATAATTTTTTTTCTCTCGCACATCTTGCTTGTGGAACTCTCTCTTACTTTTCAGCCAACTTTGATCTTCAAAAGTTTTAAATACAACATTAATCGTTATCTTTTGTCATAATTCCTGTTCTCTTATTGCTTTCTCTCCTTCGTAATGTTTTTCTCATTTTCTTTCACACTTAGTAACTCCTTGTGTCTTAGTGGCTTAACTGCATAACGATTGACATTGCATTTAAATTTTCAAAGATCAAAATTGACTGGAAGATAGGAGCCCAGAAGAGAGTTCCACAAGTGAGAAGTGCAAGAGAAGAAACTTAACATACAACTTATAGTTACATCTAGCCATTCTTAATAGTAAAATAATGAAACCTTACTGCCAATCTAGTGCTGCTCTTAAATTCGTAAAGTCAACATACCAAAAAGTAAAACTCATCAGAACAGTTCTCTTCAATGAGAATTTTAATTTCATAGAAAAATGTTCTGTTATGGGGAAGGCTCTTTCTGACTCACACCTCCCTCTCTGTCACTGACAGATAGCAAAATTTTTTTACTGGGGACAATAAAAGTAGCCAATGTAGGCCATATGCATTGTACTATTTAATGCTATGGAAACTTTTCTCTTGGTGAAAAGAAGGTTGATTTGATTTTCAGTAAGAAATAGATGGTACAACTTAAGTATACTGGCCTGAAGACAACCATGGAGACTAATATATTGACTAAATTGTCTCGGGCCCACTATGCAACAATGACCATTGTCACCAGATACCATTTTGAGCCATGTACTTAATCACATAGGATGTCATGACTATCACAGTTGAAAGGCGGTTTGAATCGGAATATTTTCTTTTTTCTTTTTTTTTCTTAGAAAAATGTTCTTACCTCCCACTCTTTCCATAAGGAAAGAGAAGGAAATAAGCAGTTCTTTACCAGAAGAAGGCTGTAGAGTGGAGAGGCCAAAAGGTTATAAAACTTTATTTCATGGTCAGGACAGGAGGAAATGGCTAGGGATGTCATTTTTCTCTGAGCTTTATCTCACGACTACCTTTCATCACCCGTCCTCTGGCATCACTCACTTGCCATCGTGAGATGCCCGTTTCATTCATTGAAATGGAGATAATCACCTTTTTGTATCCTTACAATGTTATGCTATAAAAAAATCCCTTCTCCTAGTGAAAAGTTGGTTGATTTGATATATGGTATATTGGCCTGAAGATAGCCTTGTTGATTATATTGATAATACATATATAAATCATATAGGATGTCATATGCTAAATACATATAGGATGTCTCCTTTTTTCCTCCTGCCCTAAATTATCCCTTTTCCCTGTATTTTCCCTTTCTCCTTTCCTCCTCCCTTCTTTTTCCTCCTTCTCTTTCCCTGTGTTCCTCCTCCCTTCTCTTTCCCTGTATTCCTCCTCCCTTCTCTTTCCCTGTATTCCTCCTCCCTTCTCTTTCCCTGTATTCCTCCTCCCTTCTCTTTCCCTGTATTCCTCCTCCCTTCTCTTTCCCTGTATTCCTCCTCCCTTCTCTTTCCCCTGTATTTCCCTTCCTCCCTGTATTCCTCCTTCTCTTTTTCCCTGTATTCCTCCTGTATTCCTTCCCTCTTTCCCTGTATTCCTCCTCCCCTTCTCTTTCCCTGTATTCTTCTTTTCCCTGTATTCCTCCCTTCTCTTTCCCTGTATTCCTCCTCCCTTCTCTTTCAAGAGAAATAAATGACTGTCTTCACCTGATAAAGCTAGAAGAACAAAGAGGCCAAAATGTTATGCTATCTACAAAAACAACAAAAATGAATGCTTTGAAAGGAAACACTTTCATTATTTTTTTTTTTTTTTTTTCTCATTGACAGATCAAGAGTTCACCAAAGAGAGAAAAACAACTCCCTGCCAGCTTCAAGAATGTAGACAAAAAGTTGGCCAATTTAATTTTGAATGAAATTGTTGATTCTGGTCCCCCAGTTGCATTCAGTGACGTTGGTAAGTCTTGAAGGGTTTCGTAACTAAAAGTAAAAACAAGAGAGTTTCTTTGCATGTTTGAGTTGATTGATTCAATTGTCTTTGCTCAATGCAATTCTTTCTAAATTTCAGGCATTTTATTTCATAAATCATGGCATCTGATGTGGTGTTGGATTTATTTTTCTTCCTCACAATAGTGCCGATTCTCTTGGATCCTAGTCTTGGGGATAACTAATTTATTTCCGAATTTTGTTGATGACATTGAAGAGTAGGATTATGAATTTGAATTTTTTTCATCGGTGGCGTTTGTGCCTACTTTTTTGAACCTTTGAAATTTATAGCATTGAGGATGAAATGATGCTAAATTGTGAAGAAATCTAAACATTTAATTTTTTGATTTTATTTTTTTTTTGTTTTTCTATTTTTTTTTTTGTTTTTCTATTTTTTTTTTTGTTTTTCTATTTTTTTTTTTGTTTTTCTATTTTTTTTTTTGTTTTTCTATTTGTTTTTTTGTTTTTCTATTTTTTTTTGTTTTTCTATTTTTTGTTTTTTTGTTTTTCTATTTTGTTTTTTTGTTTTTCTATTTTTTTTTTTTTTTTTTTATTTTTTTTTTTTTTTGTTTTTCTTTTTTTTTCTTCTTTCTTCTTTCTATTTTCTTTTTTCTATTTTCTTTTCTATTTTCTTCATCTCTGTATTCTGGGCCTACATATTCTAAGGCCCTGAGGTAAAAACCTATGATAGGATGTCGGGATTTATGATATAAAATTCCTACAATGTAGGAAGAGTTACATTAACATAACATTTTAGAAGTCTAAAAGCCTGCATCTACAAATATGAGAGAGAACTATGTTGGGACAATGCTTTGAACTCGCTCGAAACATACAGAAACAAAAACGGGCTATTACTTTAACTTTATATATGTCACCCATAAAATCCATACTTAAAATATCTCAAGATCTGTCTACATACAACCACAACAGGTGTAACTTAAATTCTTTCACTCTCAATGTCCCCTAATCAAACTATGGACAACCATGAGGCATTGATAAAAATGCTTACTAGACGCATACACATTGTCATCTAAATACTGCATAGATAAACTGGAATTATAATACACATATACACATGAATTATACGCAGGAATGCTGCTTGACAGGATATTTGCATGTCAAGTCTTTTCAACCAATGAAAAACAAAAATAAAAATACCAGAATTTTCACTTCTCCATATTTCATTTTCAGATGAAGCTTTATATATATATATATATATATATATATATATATATATATATGTATATTTATTTCTTTTTGAATTTGTAGGTCTGATGATTTGGATTGTGATTACAGTTCCAATGTAATAAATTATAACCCTGGAATATTAGTGTTTGAGCCTTTTAGTAATAAAAGTAATAAATCCATTGCTATATAATCCAAGTGGATTCTAGTAATATAAAGTTTTAAAACTGATCGACAAAAAGAGTTCAATGTATTTATTATTACAGAGCAATATAATTAATAAAGAATTTGGGTTTAAGTTTATAAAACTTTTTCCTTTAAGAGAAATACCTCCCACTCTTTGCTGACCCCTGTCTTTCATCTAACTGAAACCTTGAAATGGATAACGTCTGTATAAGATTTTAACCGTTTTTTTCTCTCTTCCTTTCACAGTTAAATTTCTATTTCTGACACACACACAAACTCTGTCCACACTGAGGTTAAGACAGATAACCAATGTCTTTGTCTGCTAAAATAGGCTATTCCCCATATGAGGTGATTTTGGATTTTGTTATATATATAGCATGAACTGACTGTTACATAATTTTTAATAATAATACATCTGGTTATTACAATAATGGCATAGTTATATATTGCGCTGTGATTACAATTTTTTAAATTTTAAAATTATATTTGCCAATTAGAATAAGTGGGATTTATGTGTGTAAAAAGACAAAAGAAAATTAAAAATTATATATATATATATATATATATATATATATATATATATATATATATATACACACACACACACCCACCACACACGAGTGGGGAATATTTAGAATATTAAGAAATTTTATAACTAAAGGGAGAGTACTTGTTCTTATTGAAACCTGAATATATTTGTTTACAGCTCGCGACAGCTATTAGGGAGATGTGATTAAATATACTTTAATGTTTTAAAAAAATTATTTAGTATTATTATTGCTTAGATAATAAGCATTATAACATGGCACAATTAGCGCTATATATATATATATATATGTGTGTGTGTTGTAAAAGGAACTTTTGACAGTATGCACAATTTTTTACGTATTTATGGTTATTTTTTAACTTTATGGATAATATTATACATTAATTACTAATTTTTTTAATTAATAACTATTTGTGGTCGGTTGTTGACATTAATAACTATCTTCTCGGGTGTTAAAATTTTGGAATAATGCAATAAAAATTTAAACATCATCCCACTGATAAATGTCACGATGTGAATAATAATATATTAAAAATAGAACACAATTAGCATTTAAAAATAACCAAAAAAAAAAAAAAAAATTACGAATTTAAAATTATATATAATATCCCACGTCGGTTTTTTTATGCAAAAAAGGGAGTTATTCCCCTTGATACATAGTGTTTGCATAAATTCAAATATTTTTAATTTATTTATTTATTATTTATTTTTTTAAGTTTTTCATCATTAGATTTTGACCAATATAAATTATAAATAATTAATTATAACATTTTAGGAAACAATAAATGCTAAAAGAGTAAATTTATTTAATAAAATCGCCATTACCTTCCACTGCAAACTACAAGTACTTTTTATGGATTTTCTGGTCATCATCACTGTCTCACTTAAATTTTCAAAAATTCAACCTTAGCATTGTGACTGCACGCTCCACAAGTTTTTATCTTTTATCAATAACACATTTCAAAAAAGCATATTTTGATTTGCATTATATTTTTTTGTCTTGGATGCTACCTGAATTTTACTAGTACTTGCCTATTTAAGGAAGATCTAATACAGTTTATAATTTAAAAAAAAACAAGGATCCTAACATTCATCACTTGGTTAGTGGGTTAATGCATCTTTAAAATTTTGTCAGCGAAAGGATTTCGCCATTTTATATCATTAGCTTTACTAATTTACTTTTTGTATGAATGATTCATTGTAATATAAATTAAACTGCACTACATATTTGAGATATATATATATATATAGTGGGGGAAATAAATATTCGTACACTTGAAAAATTGTATTTTTATAAATGTAAAAGCCTTAAATAAAACAAATCTCAACACATTTTATGTATAGACACATACTATTAAAAATAATAATAAACTTAATTCTTATTCTAACAGAAATTAATGCATTTTTTTTTTTTTATTCTAACTGGTGAAAAACGTATTCGTACAAATCAATTATTAGAATAAAATAATCAATTAATTATGAAAAAAAGTATATTCTAGAATGTTCCAGTAATGTTATCAGTAATTATAGTTAACGCTATTAGCCGTTTTCAGAGCATTCTGCAATTTCTAGTCTTACAAGAAGGTTCTAATAATGCCTAAAGGTAAAGAATTGACTATTTCACAAAAACAACACATTTTGTCTCTTTGGAAAGATGGGAACAGTTATTTCTAACAACCTGAATATTCCTTTTACTACAATTGCTTCGTTCATTGCAAGGTTTTAAAACTTCGTAACAGTGTTGAAAACCAAAAACGAACAGGTGCTCGAGGAAGATTTCTCTAAGATCAGCAAAAAAAGGATATTAGGACGCCAGATCCAACAAAATCCACAGGTTACCCGGAGAAGAGCTGCAGGAACATCTGCGTGCATTAGGGATTAAAGTAACCAGCGTACAATAAGTAATGAACTACACAAAAACAGTCTGAAATCACACATCCCAAGGAAGACTCCACTTCTCTTGAGACAACATAGAGATGCTAGGCTGAAATTCGTTAGAGAGCATAAGGATAAAGAATATTCGTTTTGGGGAAAAAGTACTATGGATAGATGAAACTAAAATAGACTTGTTTGGTCATAATTATTGAAATCATGTGTGGAGGAAGGATGGTGAAGCCAACTTACCAAAGAACACGTTGCCAACTGTAAAGTTTGGTGGAAGTATCATTATCTGGGGCTGTTTTTTTGCAAAAGGAGTTGGCAGAATGTCAATAATAGATGCCAAGATGAATGCCGAAAGATACCAGAAAATCCTGCAAGACAATTTAATGCGTTCTGTTGAGAGACTTCGGCTACCTCCTGATTGAGTTTTCCAACTGGATAATGATCCTAAGCATACTGCTAGATCTACAAGGAAATGGTTAGCTGAAAGTAACGTTGATGTCTTGCAATGGCCAAGACTTGGACCCAATCGAGAATTTATGGTGATATTTGAAAATTCAAATTGGGAAAAGAGCACCAACAAATATCAAGAATTTGAAGACAATATGCCAAGAAGAATGGGACAAAATACCACTCAATGTGTGCAAATCATTAGTTGAGACGTACAGGACTGGTAGCTATTGAACTCAATAAAGGATATTCCACAAAGTATTAAATTAAGTTAATATGCTTTTTTTTGTTTTGTACGAATACTTTTTTCATCAGTTAAAATGAAAAAAAATGCATTAATTTCAGTTAGAATAAGAATTAAGTTTATTACTATTTTTTTTAATAAAATGTATCTTTACACATAAAATGTATCAAAATTTGTTTTAGTTAAGGATTTTACATTTATAAAAATACAATTTTTCATGTGTACAAATATTTATTTCCCCCTACCTTATACACCTTATATACTTTTCATTACTGCTTATTTAAATGTTTCAGTAGGGTATTAGAAAAAATGTTCCATATTTGCCGTGTGACTTGGCCATGGAATATTTAGAAAAGAAAATTCACAACCAAAAAATCAAAATTATAACCTTTTCTTTAAGTGACCTTCTCACTAACCATGAAGAAACATTTAGAGTATTAGTCAAATTATATGACAGGTACTTTTTTTATTTTTAGTAGAAGTGAGGTAAGGTTTAATTACCTGGACATTTTTTGGAGGAAAAGAAAAACTTTAGTACATTTCTTAATGCATTTATTGAAAATTGTTTTAGCTGTTTTTCAGAGAGCAACATCTGTACATACAGTCAATTCATAATAGCTACAAAGAAATCTATTGGTATCGGTAAACACTAGTATATATGGAAATAGGCAAAAAAACAAAAAAAAAACGGAATTCTGGTACTTGTTGGTAAATGAAGTCCCATTGTATACACGCAGAAAAGCCAATTCCAATACTTGTATATCAGCAAAAGCACACACACACAAAGCAAGCAGCAATATACCAGTCACAGCAAATATTTCTACTAAAAAAGCAGCAAAAGATTGTGAAATTCCATAAATTTCTTTATTTTTTTTCCTAGTTGTCTTTTTCAGGGATATATTTATTGATATCATGTTTGTTCACTTCTTGGAGTCCTAGTTTTAGAGCTAAGCTCTATGTGTGCACTGATTCCTGGTGAACACCATTTTTTTCGTGGTCTTCATGCCTCCTCTCATACATAATACATATTGGACGCAGGGTAAATTTTTTAAAATTTTTTTCCAAATCTGCATCCAATAGGCCGGAAAAAATGGTAATTAGTTTTTAACATTAAATCTTGGAACGGATTTAAAAAGTTAAGTTTCGAGTTATCTCCCTTGTCAAAGTCGTTTTCATAATATTACAAGAAATACTTCGTTTTTGGACAGTGATTTTTTTTACATGATGTCATATTGGAAGAATTTATCAGTTCTCCCAAGACAAAATTCTTTTTTTTTCTTTTCTTTTGATATTCCAGTATAACAGTAAAAACATTACTTTCATGGTTTTCATCATAGTTTATGCATTGTCTTGTCTTACTCTCTCATTCACTGCCAGAATAAGACGCAAGACCAGGGCGCCAGTCTATTTTCACCAGTGTTCCAAGATGACTGCTTCCAACCCCAAACTTATTCTCCTCCCCAATTTTAAGCTAACTTTATTTTTTTTTTAAGTTTATGATTTATAGCTAATAGTAGTATAATAAAAGCAACAGTAAAATGTTGATTTCCTCCATGATACAAAATGTAAGGATGTAGTTTGACAAAGAACTGCCATGTTGTAGAACAGACTTCCATGATGTTGCTTTCTTCCCTAGACACTTTAATATCGACCACTTCAAGTCAAGAGTCAAGCATCATCCTGGTATTCTTTGTTTCTTACAACTTCTTTCATCATAACCATTTTAATAGTGAATCTCTACCTTGAGTGACTACTGAGCCTTATACCAAGTAAAATTCACTGTGTGTGTGGATATATATATATATATATATATATATATGATAGATATGTGGAGATATATATATATATATATATATATATATATATATATATATATGATATTAGTGGTAAATATACACATACATTTGCAAAATATATAAATATATATACGTACCAATTCCAATGGAATAAATTGTGAAATATTAGTGTTTAAGCCTTTTTATTATATATATATATATATATATAATAAAAGATATTTATGTATTTATTTTAAATAACCGATGGTTTTGAATTTAACCATTGTCTTTTTAATTTAAAAAAGAAAAAAAAAAAAAAATTTATGGTCACGTCTGTCCTCCTCCAAGGATCCAAGATTTGGATAACTCCTGGTTGAGACTGAAAAAGGATCCAGAGAATAAATGCCTGAGAAAGCTCCTTCACATCTCCAATCGGGAGCACAAAGCCAATGACGATCTACAAAGCGAAGTTGAGTCTACAGTATTTACATTAGTCGGACTATTGTCCTCATCTTTGTCGCCATATTTGTCACAACGTTTTGGCCTTCTTCAGGTGGTTGGAATTTCGAACTGAACCCTTTATTTCGCTCACTGGGGTAGACTGTTCTAGTTCCACGTGCCATGTTTGATGGATGTCATATTGGAAGAATTTATATTGATGGATGTCAGTTTTTTGTCAGTTATTAGTTATCTCCTGCTAATTTTCCCTCTGAAAGTTCTCTACTGCCTTAACCAGGTATTGAACTCACCTTCTTTGGGTCTGTCACTGGATCTAACCAACGCCTTTATCCACTGTGCCATGTGTCCTTGGGTATGAACTTCTGAGTATTATAAACCTAATGTTTTCAGCATCATTTTTACCAGTGCAATATGAGCACTGGTAAAAATGATGCTGAAAAAGTTGGGAGATGTCATGGTCTGGCCATATCACACAGCATAACAGCTTCTGCAAGACATGGTTGAAGGAGGATATGACATCAGCTTTTAGACTAAGTTTAAGCCCCACAAATTGCTAATCCTATCCATCTTCCTCCTTGGGTGTGAGATAAACACTATTGGTTGGGGCAGGAAAAAAGAATCCAGGTGTTCAGAAATAAATGCTTGAGAAAGCAGCACTGCATCTCCTATTGGGAACACAAAACCAATGACCAGGTGTTGGCAACCTTTTGCTATGTGCCAACTTAGGGTTTTAAAATCATTCAGTGTGCCATCAGCATATGCATTTTTAAATAAGATAACTAATCCAAAAAGATAACTGAAATTTTTATATGAGATCAGCGTTCCGTTTAAATATGATCACGTCGTCGTCACGTGGGCGATGTTGTGAAAACATATTTGAAGATGATTTCCAAATATTAAAATATTAAAAAAAGTCGATTGAACTATTTTATATAAACAGTTCAAGAAATCCCTTCCGTTTTTGGATTAGTTGTGCTCTTATGTCCATCGTCTTTTCATGTTGAATTTTATATGTTCTAATGTTAATTATGTTTAATGAAAATGTCCTGAAGATGGTCTAAAATAGACCAAAACGTCCGATGTTGACTTTATATTAACATTAATACAGCATAATTGCATATTAAGATTTTTGTTTTTTTTCTGTATATTTTTCTTCATACTGTCGGATCTATATCCATATATTTGCTTACATACTTTAGTATATATTAAAATTGAAACAGTTAAATATCTTCATTGCATTGAAGTAGTTATTGGTTCGGACTTTGTGTGTCATTTGCGGCTGCGTGCCATTGGGAATTGCTTGATGTGCTCCAAGTGGCAGGTTGCTGACCCCTGCCAATGAATATGTATATATTAAGATCAAACGTCTCACTGATGAGCAGGAATCTCTCCTCACCCCTATTAAGCATCAGAAGATATTGTTTTGCCATAACAGCTTCTGCAAAACCATTATGCAAGGCACTGCTGAAGGTGGATGCTAGTGGGGACGACAATGGAAGAGCTAGTCAGACATCAAAGAGTGGACAGACATGGCAATGCCACAATTCCTGAGAGCCAATGCCAACAGATCATCTTGATGGCAGTTGTCTGTTTTTTCTATCCTCAGGTTCTCTCCATCCAAGGATTGAAGCAGTTGTGGGACTGATGATGGTCATGTATGTTGACTTGGAAAAGGAGTGTATCTTTTGAGAAAAGCCTGCTGCATTATCATTAATATTACTTCCCTTTTCTCTGCATTCTTTTCTCAATTGCAGTCTCCTTAGTTAATTTCACTCAGTTATTTTCTGTTGCCATAGCAGGATATGACAACACAACTATCAAATTCAAACATTATTCAGGAATCGGTCGCATACAAGGTGATAAAGGTTAAAATATATAAAATTGTTTTAGTTTCTTTTTGTATGTATTAGCTTTAGGCTGTTTCAAATAAAATCAAAATTTAATTTTGAAGAAGACATTTAATTAAATTATTCAAAATATCTTAGTTTTCTTTATAGCAATAGGTTGAACTGACCATTAAAATTTATTACCAAGTGACCACCCATCTAGATACTGACCAGGCTCAACATTGCTTAACTTCAGTGATAAGAACTGATGTCTCAAGATATCGCTGTAAGCTTGTTACCAGAAATTTTCATCCCAAGCAAGGCAATAAAGCCACTAAGATGCAAGGGGTTACTGAGTTAAAAAAACAAAACAAAAAGAAAACAGGACAATAAAAGAACAGTATGCAAGGAGAAAGATGATTGCATTTAACTGTTAGCTCTCTGCATTATTATTGATATTACTTTGCTTTTCACTGCATTCTTTTTCAAGGCCTCTCAATTGCAGTCTCTGTATTGTTAATTTTGCTGAAAGTTGTTTTCTGTTGCCATAGCAGGATATGACAACACAACTATGAAATTCAAACACCCTATTGTTTAGGGATCAGTTACCTTCAGTGGCAGGATAAACTTTTTGTACAGCAAATGACGTCACATACAGAGTAATAAAGGTTAAATTGGCCTGTTCCAAGTATTTTATTTCTTTTGTCATTTATATTTTATTAATAATTTTGATGTTATGACTAATAATGTCAGCAATAATTTTAACGTTTTTTTTTTTTTTTTTTTTTTTTAGCTGGACAACAGACAGCTAAACAGGCCTTACAAGAAATTGTTATTTTGCCTTCACTTCGACCTGAGGTAAGAACGGTTTCCTCTTGACAAACAAATTCTTCAAATAGATTTCTTTCATTATTTATATTGTTTGGACTGTTGTCCTCATCTTCATTGCCATATTTATGTTTTTGGCTGTTGTATGCTCCAGCTGCCTTCAGGTGATTGAAAAGTAAACCCTTTATTTCATCCACTGAGGTAGATTGTTCTAGTTCCACATGCCAGGCCTCTTCCAGATGTTTTATTATCAGTTATCTCCCTTTAACTCAGCTCTCTAAGTTTTGTTCACCTCAGCTGTAGCCAGGTATTGAACTCTGAACTCTTTGGGTCAAATCACTGGATTCAACCAATGTTTTTATTCTCTGGGTCATGTGTCCTTAAGTAGTGAGTTCAGTACCTCGCTATAGCTGAGGTGAATAAAAATTTGGAGCATTAAAGGGAGATTTCCTTTTAAGTCAATTTAATGACCAGAGTTTTCAGGAGCCCACCTTTGAATTGGCAAACATAAAATTTTGTTACTGATTTTTAGATAATCATAAAAATAGTCCTTTGCAAAACAGACTACATAAAAGCTGAATGGGTGGTCTACTTTTCCGGAACACAAGTGGATGGATAGGAGAAGTGGGACCCTAGCCAGTGTCCATATAATGAGTAGCAGTAAGTTAATAAGATAACAGTTCACCACAACAAATGTAAAAGAAGACCTTGCTGGTTAAGTGAGAAATCATATTGTTTGCTATTTCCCAATCATTGTCTTGAAAAGCATTTATCGTTATTTTTTGTTGAATTTGATCATGGCCAAACCTGTGAACATAGCCAGTCAGGTGTATATGCATACATAGCCAACCTTTGATGTCATCATACTTGTGCAGTAGTGGAAGGCATCATCACAGTTCAAAGTAACACAAGAACTTTGTGAATTGAAATATTTTCATTTTAAATTCCGTTTAAAATATCTCCAGAACTTTGTGAATTGAAAAAATCAATTTTATTTCTTCAAAAGGCCAAAGAATCCGAGTTAAATTGAGAAGTTTCATGATGTGAGGTCTTTAAGTTCTGAAGAGTTTGTAATTTGAAGAATTGATTTATGGCTTGAATTGAACTTTTGGTTTTTTGGCTGGAATTGAGCTCACAGCCAGAGTCAGAGTAAAAGTGAGGTTTTGAAATTCTATGGATTGAATTGAGGAATTCAAAGTTACTTCTTCAAAATTCTTATTGTTGTTTATAAGATGGATCAGAGGTCCCTTTTTGTTTTTGGGCCTAACTAGCTTAAAAGTCAGTACAAAATTGGGCTTTTAAGCTATTTATTCATACTCTTTAACATTTTTACCATCTGGTCATTTAATGTGACTGGTGATATTTACAAAGTTTTAAAAATGTTGCTAACCTTTAATGAGGAGATATCATTACTTTTCTTCACCAAAACTTTATTAACTGTAAAAATTTTATCAAATTAACCATTTGGAAATTGCAGGGTTCCCATGGTAACACCAAAACTTCCCAGAGTTCACCAAACCTCTGAGTTTGGTAATACTCTGCTTATAGAACTCTCTGGTTTCAGGTGGAGAGAAACTCAGACAAGGCTATGCCTATGGACATAGTCTCATCTGGGGAGGTAGACGGCTACCTGACCCTGTGAATGTGGGGTCTACAGGGAATTTTTGCCCAAACATATGTGCTTGGAAAGCCTGACGTTAAAAACTGGCCTTGTGCCACATCCTACCTTGTGGGGAGGACTTGGGTAAATACAGGGATCTTATGGTAACAATTTTTTTGTCTTTAATAAATTATATATATATATATATATATATATATATATATATATATATATATATATATATGGTTGACTATCCTGTTGTATTTTGATGTATGAGTTTCAAGCAGCTCAGTTCCTAGGAACCAACAGCCCAGACACCAGCACGTATTATTTGATTATAGTGGTGAAGGCTTTGTGCAGAACCAACCACACTTTTTTGAAGTGCCGAATACAGAGACCTGGTCACTATGGGCCTCAAGATCCCCAAACAAACCTCCTAGACTAGTTGCCATGCAAGACTATAGAACTTAATCTGTCCTGCTATTTATCCATAGCTGAAGGGAGAAGAGGATTCATACCCCTTTCACAAGTGTATTAACACGTAAGTTAATGTAATGGATTCAACTGGAATTTGAACTCTGGTCTCCAATTCCTCAATCTGAGCCGCTATCCACTACTCCACTGTGCCTCCTTTTATTTATATATATATATATATATATATATATATATATATATATATATATTTGTATATTTAGGCAGCAATCTTCCTTTATGCATGTTTTCATTAAAAACGACAGACAAAGTACTACTTGATTGAGTTTTTTTATTTATTTAATTTTTCTTGTGTTCTGACAAGAGTTTTCTTTTCTGGACAAAGGGTGTTTAGCCATTGTCCAAATGTTCGAATCATCCTTGATAATGGCTAAAGGCTATACCTTTAGCCATTATCAATTATGACAATCTTATCATACCTTTTGTCCAGAAAAGAAAGCTCTTGTCAGAACACAAGAAAATTAAATAAAATGCTCAACCGTAGTACCTTGTCTGTCGTTTTAATGAAACATACATACGACATATATATTAGCTCCTGAATTTGACTTCAGTTGAGCACTCTGTGGAGTGAGGGGTGATTTGTAAACAGTGACTATTATAGCTAATATAGCGCGACTCTTGGCGTAAGTTTAATTGAGTCACTGTCGGTCACTGGGCATGTTTACAAAAAAAGTAAATACGCTTAAAAATCTACCTCCATTCTCACCGTGCGCCGCTTTGGCTTAGTGGTTAGAAGCTCCGACTGACACCAATTCAGTCGGGTTTCGATCCTAGCTAGAGGCAAAACGGATGTCTTCAAGACTGATGAGCTGTAAACAGCTTAAACAGTCTGTCTGTGGATGACATTTTATATGTATATATATATATATATATATATATATATATATATATATATGGATGATGATAGGTCCTAGGCTATACCACTTGTGAGGCCCTCTAAATTCCCCATTCTCATGTGTAGAGGAGAATGGATGAGTGAACAATTTGAGTAAAGCTGAGGATGATGACTGGTATTTAAAGTTACTGAAGGGTTATTTAGATTCTGCAACGTGTTAGGACAGCATGTGTAAGAAAGGCCTAAGTGTCAAAAATATTATACAACTATATGGAGGCTGCTATTTTTTGAGGCCTTGGGTTTCAGCATACTACTGCCACTACTTATTACTTTTTTTTATTTCCTTCCTTGTGTTGCCAGCTCTTCACTGGACTTCGGGCACCTGCACGCGGTCTCTTATTATTTGGACCACCAGGAAATGGAAAAACCATGTTGGTGAGTAAAATTCTTTGAATATTAGATGCAATATTTTTCATCAGTTTTTCTAAGCTTAGAGTAACAGTGTAAACAAATGATGCTTCCCTCGTCCAAGCTTTCGACCAACCAGCCAATGGTCACTGTGAAAAAAAATATTTTTACCAAGATTTTCTAAAGAATAACATTTACAAAATTATTTGTGAATATATCCTGAATGTTTCATTAAAATCAATTTTTTTTTTCTAGTATTTCTCTAGTATTCTCAGTATCCTCCTGTAGAATCATATTTCTCAAATCTCTTCTTCATCTGTGAAAAGATTGTCCAGTATACACTGTTATATAGGAGGACTGGAGCTCTTTGACGTGGTGTATTGGCGAGCAAGCTTGCCTCGCAAAATCAATTATGACTAAATAATGGGTTTGATCTTCACTGGGTGCCCCATACATTTGGCCTTGTGCCACATCTAAACTATGCTTAGAAAATAGAAATGGGCACCTTGATGTGTTGTAATGATTAGCAAGCTTGTCTCGTTAGATCAATTATGACTGAGTAGTCAGTTTGATCCTCACTGAAAAGTTACATCTTTTGAATTTCTTGAGATTTCATAAAATTAAATGGAGGGTGAAACAAAAAAAAAAAAAAAATATCAATAAAGATTTTCTAAAAAAAAAAAAATTACATTTCTAAAATAATTTCATTCGTATGTGAATAAGTTCTGAAAGTTTCCTTTAAATCACTCAATTATTTGATTTTTGCAAGGATTTTCAAATTAATGTCTTTCACAGAAAATTTACTATGCTAATTTACAGTCCATCCGCTGACATAAGAAAATTGAGATTTTTTTTTAATCAAAATTTCAAATGTTCTAAAAAGGATTAAAAAATTTAATTAATATTCAAAAAATACTTTGATTTTTCCTCTTAATAATAACCTGATGATTTTGACCATAAAACTATGCTTTCATTACATTTGGAGCATTTTTTTTTAAGGTATACTAAATTAGATATTTTGTGGATTGTTATATTCCATGCTAATAGGAATATATACTTGAAAAACATGGTGGATAAAATAAGTAATGGTTTATTGTAAAAAACCAGTACAATAAGAATAAAGGTAACAGTTATGCATAAGGTCGTTGCAAGTCAATCCAGTAGTGAGGGCTACTATTAGAAGGTCGGTAGTTCTTGCATAAGTCTGAGATCCCAGCTAGTATATTTAGCTACCCCAACCACGAGGGTTGCATGTGGCACAGGGCTGTTGGCTCGGCCCAAAATATTCCCTTTTTGAACCTGCATAAACGGGTTCAGGGGCAGTCTACCTCCCCGAATGAGACTCTACCATTCGGCTGAGCCTCATCCAGGTTCCTCTCTGCTCAAAGGCAGAGAGTTCGACTGTTCAACTGAAAAAGATTTCAGCTAGTCTCTGTAGTCCGTTCACTTACAGATACTTATAGGTAGTTACTACCTATAGTGTAGTCACTCATGGGGGTGACAGGTTATTCCATTACATCACTGAGATACCTACATAAAAGGTTCCAAAAATAAACACCACTAATATTTTTCATGAAGGTCGTGTAGTGAATATAGAAGTCGGTTTGACAAATGTTACTGTTATCTAGTGTTTGTGAGTTCAATTCCTGGATCAGTAAGAATAAGCAGTAACTGGTTTCACAGGAACAAACACCATAGACAAGAGATCCCATATCAGCTAAACGAGGGACACCTGATGATGGCCAGGGGGTACTGGGCTGAAGCATTATGCCTATAATGCCTATAAAATTTTTCAACAGTCGATGATGTAGAGATCTGAGAGATGGACAATGCGTAGCTGGAAAGTGTATTATTGAACTGTCATTATGTGACTTTAATTAGTTTGGCAAAATGGATAGTCTGACACAGATCTGGAACCATTGGTGGTGGTGGTTGGGGGTGTGTTAAATGATTTTCATAGAATTTTTTTTATTTTTTTTAGTTTCAAGTTTTTTTTTTAGTTTCAAGTTTTTTTTTTTAGTTTCAAGTTTTTTTTTTTTAGTTTCAAGTTTTTTTTTTTAGTTTCAAGTCTATTTTTAGTTTCAAGTCTATTTTTAGTTTCAAGTCTATTTTTAGTTTCAAGTCTATTTTTAGTTTCAAGTCTATTTTTAGTTTCAAGTCTATTTTTAGTTTCAAGTCTATTTTTAGTTTTAATTTTTAAAACTGTAAAAAAATCTTTCTTAGAGTATTTAATTGTTTTAAAATCTAAATTTAATTTTCTTCATTCCTTTTTCCTTATTTTCAGGCTAAAGCCGTAGCAAATGAATCCAACGCAACATTCTTCAACATAAGTGCTGCCAGTTTAACATCAAAATATGTAAGTTATTTGTAATCTTGTCATCATACAGACTTAATATGTAGATGAGGTATATGTATAATTTGTAATATATCTATTGGGGAAGAGTGATTAATATCAGGGGTGATTTTTGTACATATATGCAGTAGCGATTATGATGATCATTTAAGGCATGAAACTGCCAATCCCCATGTCGTATTTTTCAGTTTCAGACTCTTCTTCTTACTCCTCCTCCCCCCCTTCTTTTTCTTCTGCCTTCTTTTTAACAGTA